CTACCTTCCAGAAGCGCGTGTTCAAAGTGTTGAGGAAGTGGATCGTAGAAAGGAAAGACAATCAGCTCGTAATATTTAGTTTATGTAGTCCCAATCACATTACATTTTTTTATAGGTATAGACCGTTGACGTATTTGCAAAAGTCCTAGAATGAAGTAACGGTGACATAGAGAACAGGCCATCGAGTCGCCCTAACAAGAAGGTTTTACATAAAATCATATCTTCAACACACCTCCTTGATTTTATAGAAAACAACAAAAAAACAACTTAATACCAATATAACAATTTAAAATAATAATAAAAGGACTTAACAAAAACATAAGACTATCTGTCATTAACATTTCATTTGACGTTTGCTAGTTCTCTAAGTTTTATAAATTTATTTTTTCCTAATGCCTTGGTCAAAATATCCGCTAATTGTTTTTCTGTATGAACCTTTACTATATTAATAATACCCTTTTTCTCATAGTCATATACGAAGTGGTAGCTTATGTCAATATGCTTAGAATTTTTACAAAACTTTCCGTTCTTTGACAACGCAATAGCCCCGCTGTTGTCTTCGTAAATTTTTACTGGATCCCTAATCTCAACGCCTAAATCGCATAACACACCTATTAACGGAAGTACTTCTTCAACACAGTCTGCCAAAGCATAATACTCGGCATGAGTTGATGCTCTTGACACTATTTTCTGTTTATGTGACTTCCACATGATCGGATTATTAAAAACTCTTATAAGGATTCCTGTCGTCGACTTCCTATCCGATTTATCTGCGGCCCAATCAGCATCTACATAAGCGTCCAATTGTTCTTCGTAGTCGGCGTCATAATTCATCTTTAAATGTCTCGTACAGTAAAGATATTTGAGAACTCGCAAGGCATATTTGAAATGAGTATCACTATAAGCATTTTGGAAACGACTCAAATAGTTAACGCTATAAGATACGTCTGGCCGTGTTCCACTCGCAACATACAGAAGAGCTCCAATCAAGTTTCTATACTTTAACGTTGCACTGACATCTTGACTTGGATCAATGCTTAAATTCATTTCCATTGGTGTCTCAAAGTTCTTTGATTCGATTACGTTATACTTTTCAGCTAAACTTACAATGTATTTTTCCTGGCTTAAAGTCATTCTGCCTTCTTTTGGTTCAAAAACTACATCTATTCCAAGATACTGTTTTACTTTGCCCAGATCTTTCATTCGGAATCTATTGTTCAATAGCCTTTTAACTTCGTCAATTGCCTCATTTTTCTCCCCACAAATCAAAATATCATCCACATACAGACATAGATATATATTTACATTATTTACACACCCTGTATACAAACAATAGTCATAGTCTGACCTATTGAAATTAATGCTTGACATGAATTCGTGAAAGCATTCATACCAATCACGTGGGCTTTCTCGCAATCCATAAAGAGCTTTTTGTAGTTTGCACACTTTATTATTCTCTGTACAATATCCATCAGGTGGGTAAATATAAACTTCAGACTTAATACTCCCATTCAAGAATGCTGTCTCAACGTCCATTTGTTCAATGTTCCATCCTCTTACACATGCAATTGATAATAAAGCTTTCATTGTCGTCATTCGCGCTACTGGTGAATAAATTTCCTCGTTTTCTTCATACATCTGTTGGAAACCTCGTGCGACTACTCTTGCCTTATACTTTCCATTCGACTTGATCCTAAAGATCCATTTAACATCTATTATTTTCTTATTTTCTGGTCTATCAACTAAAATCCATGTTTCGTTCTTTTCCAAACTGTTCAATTCCTCTTTCATTGCATCTTTCCATTTATTTACATCTGGACTTTTTATTGCTTCATCATACGTATCTGGTACCAGTGCATCACTAAAATTTATATATACAACATGATCTTTATATTTCTCTGGCATTTTTCTATCTCTTTTTGGTCGGATATCCGTCACCTCCTCAGTCACAGCTCTACTTGATTTTTCCTTTGAGTCATCAACACTATCATAAAATTCTTCGTTTTCATCAGTTTCATCTTCAGTATTTACTATCTTTATTATCTGTTCTTCTTTCGTACCTATAAATGTAACGTGACGACTAATGACTATTTTTTCATTTATTAATACTCTGTATCCCGTATCTGTGTATCCTACTAATATACCTTTTGTAGCATTTGGGTTAAGTTTTGATGTGCGTAATTCGTCTGGAATTCGTACATAACACTGTGATCCGAAAATTTTTAAATTACTTACATTTGGCTTCCTCCCCATAAAAATTTCGTACGGTGTTTTTTTTCTCATACGTATTTGTTAATATTCTATTACCTAGATATGCTGCAGTCATAACGCATTCAGGCCAATATTTCTTATTTATCTTTGCTTCTGTAAGCAGACACCTCGCTCTCTCCATTATGGTTCGGTTAAATCTTTCAGCTACACCGTTCAACTCGTGTGTATAAGCTGGCCCTGGTTTTAAATAAATACCTTTTTGCTTTGTGTAAGTGTAGAAATCGTTGTTAATATATTCTCCGCCATTGTCACATCTGATTTCTTTCACTCTCTTACCTGTTTGATTTTCCACCATATTTACATAATCTCTAAAACAATTAAAAACATCACTCTTGTTATTAATTAAGCATAGATAAGCTAACCTACTATAGTCATCTATGAATGACACAAAGTATCGTTGCCCCTTATATCCAGTGGGCGTAATCGGGCCTGCCACATCCGTGTGGATAATCTCTAACAAGTCTGTTGCCCGTCGTCTTTGATTTCCAAAAGGTAGATTTGTCATTTTGTTCATCAAACAAACTTCACATTGCACGTAACCCTCGCCTAAAGTGATAGGTAACCCATCTACAACCCTATGCCTGCACATTTCATTTAGTTTCTTAAAGTTAGGGTGCCCAAGTATTCTGTGCCATTTTTCTTTTTCTGACATAATGTTACCACTTGTGTATGCTACTGTACCTGCACCTAAATTAACTCTGCCATCTAATTCGTACAATTTATTTTTCTTGCGTGCGACGGCCATTAAACCTATATGTACATTATATATATTTGCTATTTCTCCTCTAAATTGAATTGTATTATTTCTATTTACAATGCATGAAACGCTTAATAAGTTCTTTTTCATATTTGGAACATAATATACATTTGAAACATCAATTTTATTTGACTTACCTCCTGCTTTACAGTACATTGTTACATTTCCTATTTTCTCCGACTTAAGACAAAATCCATCACCTACCTTAATATTCACAGGTGTTTCTAAAATTTTATAATCACGAAAGAATTTATCGTCATTTACGATGTGATCGCTACATCCGCTGTCCAATAACCATGTTATATCCGCTTTCGTTTCGGTAGCTCCTATCATCGCTTCTACTTCTACGTTGAATCCAAATCCATCACTGGTGCTGCTACTTTGTCCTGTATTCACGCTTCTATTGTTGTATCCTCCTCTATATCCTCTGTGAGTTCCTCGTCGTCCGCCTCCATATCCGCGTCCTCTACCACGACCATGACCACGACGTGCTAACTTAGGACAATCCCTCCTGTAGTGTCCTAGGCGGTTGCATTCAAAGCAGTTATCATTATTCCTGGACCCATCTTGGTGTTGATTTGATCGAGAACTGAACGTATGAGCTTCTTGTTCGTTCTGTTTTCTTTTCATTTCAAGTAGTAATTTGGACTTCACGTACTCCACTGTCCGATCCTTTGTCGGCATCGCATCAACAATATTTACAATATGTGCAAAACTCTCAGGTAATGCAAGCAATAAATAGTTCAGTCTATCCTCTTCCGACACTACTTCTCCAGCATTTTTCAATTCATTGATTTGTTTTTCAAATGTTTGTATGAATTCTAGTATATCGTCGCCATCTTTGAATTTTGTTTCTAGTAATTTCCTTTTAATTAATAATTTATTAGCACTGCCTTTTACTAAATACATCTCGTCCAATTTTTTAATCATTTGGTAAGCCGTACTTTCATTCATTATTATATCGAGCTGAGTATTATTTACGCTATTCACTATAATATTTCTTGCCTTTAAATCAATTTTTCTCCATTCCGTGTCCGTCATACCTTCATGTTTCATATCATTTTCCACAGCTTCTTGGCATTCTTTCATTTGTAACAACAACTTTAATCTAAATTTCCATTTTTCATAATTTGCACCATCAAATATCTGAATGCCCACTTCTCCTATCTTTACTTCCATTTTCGGTACCTTACGTCTTCAATTGTTTCGGTACTGACCTTGTCAAATAATTTCCACTTATCTTCCTCTTTCTATTTATTTTATTCAACAACGCTCCTTTGCTACCATGTTGAGGAAGTGGATCGTAGAAAGGAAAGACAATCAGCTCGTAATATTTAGTTTATGTAGTCCCAATCACATTACATTTTTTTATAGGTATAGACCGTTGACGTATTTGCAAAAGTCCTAGAATGAAGTAACGGTGACATAGAGAACAGGCCATCGAGTCGCCCTAACAAGAAGGTTTTACATAAAATCATATCTTCAACACAAAGTTGTGCTGCACTATACCCAGAGAAGAGTACACGACAATCGCGATCCAACAACTGGGACACCCACACTTTTATATGTAATGTGGCTATCTTTATAGCCACCTTATTATTATACTTTTATAATGCCCGCCCGGTGGTAAGCGGCCACCGTTGCTTGACGCTTACGATAAAAAAAATATCACAAGATAAAAATACTTATGTGAAAGCTGAATAGTTTAGCCTTTGCCTACTGCCTACTGAAATGTTTTTTAAACTTGACACCTTGCTTGACACAATATTGTTCTGTGGTCTCCACAGACTTACACTTTATTAATAGCAAAAAAAACCAATAAACTAGTGAAGTGCCGCCGGCATGCAAAAAAATATTTGTTAATTGTTAAGTTTTGTTGATTTTTGACTGCACGACCTTGTTTTAAATTTTTCAATTTATTTTGTTTTTTCTTCGAGTTGGGCTATGTGCATTAGTTATTTTGCTCCTGAAGTGAATTGGTATTTCTTACGATTTTCAGAGTTGCCGTAAAGTATCTAACGTTGGAACATTTAAAATATTGGTTAGAGCAGAATCATTTATGTTTACACAATTGCATTATTATAATAATTTCTCTTAAATTCCGACACATAAGCGTCATTTGTTTCTCAAAGTGGCCTAAATATGACCTTTTTAATTTTACTTAGATCTGCACCAAGCTAAAATAAGCTAGAATAAAAACTTCCATTTTTTATTTTAAATATTTTTGGTTCATACTGAGGGTTTGAAAATGAGGAATCAAACAGCCAGTGTGTAGCTTGATAACAGAGAGCGATGTATTTACATCATAATCATACCAATTTACTAAGCTAATATTAACATTTCATCAGCTGTATTATTGTGAACGACAGAATGATCTTTGAATTTAAAATTAGGGGTAAGCAAATAGCTATTTAAATTAACGTTTGTTGTTTCCAGAAAATATCATATACGACAAATCACGAGGAACTGATCATTGATGAAGAAATGGGTAAGAGATTATTTTAAAATATGTACCTATATTTATTAACGACTGTGTCCCGTGATGTTACCAGCAGTTTATTAGGGATATTTTCCCGCAGTAAAACGTAGCCTATGTGTTAATCTAGGGTAGGGCTGCCATCTCTAAAATGTGGCAACCAGGATAAGACGCGTGATAAGAATCTCGGACGCGGATTTTGAAGCCCAGAACCCGGACAGACCAATAAAAAAAACAGTTAAAAATGTCACAAATCAACTTTTTTATGTTGATCTAGGCAAAAGAGCTAGCGGTCTACCTCATAATAAGCGGTCGCTGCTGCCCATGGACACTTGCAGCACCAAGGGCCACTCATACGTTGTTGTAAATTTTTAAACCCGGACTACAAATAAAACCCCGTCCGGACGCCCCGTAAACTAGGACAAATCCAGGGAAACCTGGACAGATGGCAGCCCTAATCTAGGGTGTCTGCTAACTGTATACCAAATTTTATTAAAAACGCTTCATCCGTTGAGACGTGAAGAAGTAACAAATATACACACTCACAAACTTTCGCTTTTATATAATAGTGTGATTATTTTTCATGTTAAAAGGGTGGCCAACATGCGTACAGCTTAGTAAGGGACCATCATAGCCTATAGAAGCTTGTGATACTAAAAGTATGACTGGCACTGGTAGGCATCTACTCGGTGGAGCTCTGGAACGTTACTCACTGACATAAACGCAATACCACAAAAAGGGAGTGTTATATCACGGGTCTTTTTTACATATAGCCAGTTTGGCAAATGACTACCCCACCCTTAGTACGAGTTTAAGCTCACGAAAACTATGATAGTTTTCGTAATTGTAAATTATGTTTCTTTGTCCATTTTGGTGAAAAGTACCTAAAATTTTAAATTATACTTAAAATTTTAATAAGAAACAAATGATTTAATGATGGAATTTAAACACTGTTTGTTTGTATTGAAACGAAAAAAAATAAAAACGTACTGTTTAATACTATCATAGTTTTCGTAACTGTAAAACTCGCACTGAGGGTACTAATATTAAGTGGTGATAAAGTCCAAATGAGAAAAGGTAAGGTGAAGGTTACTTCCCGAGACAGGTCTGCCAATTCCAGCAGTAAATCCGCTATGACCTACCTCTATAATTTATGTGAATAGTTCAACTTTATATTGTAAATAGTTAATTTCTAATTTTTATTATCAAATGGTTTTATTTTATTTTTTTCCATCAACCTAACCGTTTTTTTAAGTAAACGAAACCCAGTCAGATGCAGAGGCAAAAATGTCGACATTATCACCATCCAAAAGTAAGAAGAGTTCTTTAATTTGTTTTTTATTATTTATTTCATTACTAGTGGCCCGCCCTCGCTTCGCTTCGGTGTAGAGCTGTAGTGTAAACTATAGTTTTTGTTCTCAGGCTTGTGCTATTAAGAATGACTTTATTTATATAATTACACGTGTTATTGTGAGTCAACCATAAAAGATAGACATATGCTGTTGCGGGATATTTTTTAGACAATTTTATGTAGAATATTTCCGTCATATATGATTTCTATGTAACTTTAACCATTAAGGCAGCACCCGCGACGGAAGCTTAAAAAATGGAGTAACTTCTCCCGTTTTCCAAACATTTCCCTTCACTACTCTGCTGCTATTGATTGTAGCGTGATGAAAAGTATACTATAACCTGCCCAGGAGTATGAAGAATAATTGTACCAAGTTTCGTTAAAATCCGTTGAGTAGTTTTTGTTTCTATAAGGAACATACACACAGACAGACAGACAGACAAAAATTTTACTGATTGCATTTTTGGCATCAGTATCGATCACTAATCACCCCCTGATAGTTATTTTAAAAATATATTTCAAGTACAGAATTGACATCTCTACAGATTTATTATAAGTATAGTTAGATGACTAACGACCACCTGTAACTTTGTCCATATTAACTTTAGGTAGGATCAAATGGCACTGTACATTAGCATTAAGACCTGTATTTTCATGTTACCTTGTTCCATACACAATAAAGATTTATTATTATTATTATTATTATTATTTTTTTAAATCCCTCAGGAACCTACACTTTTCCGAATTAAGAAAGAAATCTTTTTAAAGAAAGTATCATATATCTTTTTCTAGGTAATGAACTGTCTACTAAGATACTTAACTGTTTAATATTATTGTTAATAAAATTAGTTTGCCACTAATGGGTCTGGTACATAAGTGGTTCTCTGAACTTACGACCATATTAGGCAGTGTTCTCCCCTTTTAAATAATTATAGAGCATGATAGACTGTTGTGGTTATTCTGTGATTGGGCAAATATTTGTGTTGTGTAGTAAATTCCGTATGTAGAAAATGTAAAAAAACTGTTTACTGTTTAGCGTTGAGGCCATCTTTAATTACAGTTCTGTTATATCCTAATACTTAAGCATGTGTGTAAGTTTGTTTGTATTAATATAGCTGTGTTGATGGTCCATAAATAAATAATAAATAAATGTGTGTAACATTTCATCCAAATCGGTTCTATTGTTTTTCGATAATTGTGTCATGAACATACATACTTTCCCACTCATTATATTAGTAGGGTTGTGTGGAAGTGCCATATGCTTTCCCATTTTCACCCCCTTAAATTTTCCTCAAAAACAACTGAAGACATCAATAGTTTAATTTGACTATTTCGTAACACTCCCAAATATGAAAATAAAGAGTCATGGGTAGTAGATTTGAGTCCTGTTCGTTACTGAGAACGAAGTAATGTATTTTTAATATTTTTTATGCATGTAACTGCTCGATGTTTAAATCTAAATAAAAATATTACTAGAAAAAAAGAGCAGCTTAAAAAAGGCTAGAAAGAATACGACATGCCTGATAGGGCCGCGATAGCATAATGGTCAGTGCAATTGCCCGGATAGCGAAGGGTGCGGGTTCGAGTCCTGTCTGCTGCCTGGTCCGCGTGGAATTTTTTCTAGATATATTCTTAGATTTTTTTTAATTGCCTCTATTAAAAGTGAATTTTTTAGTAGTATTTTTTTCTTATCGTAGATATAAAAGTTGATATTGACGACGAAAAAGAGGAGGCAGCATTGCAAGCGTTACTCAACGAAATGGACAGTGAAATTAACAAAGGTAAAAATAGGAGTTGAAATAATTCAAGTTCTAAGAAAATAATAGCATCTACTCATCATCATCAAAAGTCCTGGCAAAAATCCTGACATTTCGGAAAAAATCCGGACTTTTTAATCTCAAAAGTGTAACTAATTTACAATGGTATGGTATTTAATCAATATATACTTATATTATTTATATTCAATGTAATTTAAGAAATCCGGACATTTTTTTTTTATGTTATAGGGGGCATACTCGCAGACGGCTCACCTGATGGTAAGTGATCACCGTCGCCCATGGACACTTGCAACACCAGGAGTATCACAAATGCGATGCCGGCCTTTAAGGAAGGAGTACGCTCTTTTTTTGAAGGTTTTTGGGTAGTATAGTGAATGATTTTAATCGTATTACGATTACGTTTAAGATTAAATCTTAAGCAAGTACAATCTGGATTAAATGGACCAAAATAGTCGTCCGTCAGGTCTCCTGCCATCATCTATATATTTTTATTTTATCTTTATTTGGGAAACATACAATGAATTAATACTTATACCTAGATCTAATTAACAAACATACATCAATAAAGTTTCCACTATAATATAAAACATATAGAGGAGATCGGGTAGTTCAAATTGAGAAAGAAAAAAATACTTTAAAATATATATATATATATATATAATTTAAGAAAAATATATAGACCACATGGTTTTCATGTTGCCGGTTCAGAAACCGTGGCAAGAGCTCTACGTATCAAATCGTTAATTGTACAGTGGTGATATAAGCGACCAGCACTTGTAGAGCAGGTCATACCATAAACCATGTCGACCCAATCGGGTTGACTTTTTATCATTTGCCCCATATTATGTTCTAAAGTATCTTTAGGTATCTTTTAACTCCCAGCTTAGCAGGGGAGGCTTGTTACTTGTTACTTGTTGTGGGCCCCCGTTTCCGCACGTAGACTCCGTATTTGGTCCATTGTGCGTGCAGGGTATATTGGGCTAGCTAGCTCAGCCAGCCCAGCTCCTTCCAGAAGCGCAGTAGTCTCCTGGGACTCTCACAGGCTTCTAGGAGCGTCCTCGGCTTCCTGAGGATTGATGCCCGGTGTTCTGCAACGCTCATGCATTCCAGGATCACATGTGTGGCTGTTTCATCTGCTTCCAGACATCCTCTGCATAGAGAGCTATCTGTAACACGTATGGTTAGTAGATGCTTGTTAAGTAGGCAGTGCCCTGTTATGGTGCCCAGCATTACTCGGAGGTCATTTCGGTTAAGATTTAGTAGTTTTTTAGTTAGGTTAGGGTTAAGTCTAGGGAAAATATCCTTAGATTGCCTAGCAGGGGAGGACTGGTATTTAATTATATATTCAGTTTAAATGATAGTTACATTTCACTGGTACTCAATAATATGTTTATTTTTAATGAGTTACATTTTAATTTCTCCTTAAAGATATTAAACAAGATGAAAATGATAAAGAAAATGAAGAATTTGAGCAATTATCTAATGGTACACCGGACGGGGAAGTCAACGCAGACAGTGCTGATAAGATAGCTGCAGGTAAAAGAAAAATTACATTTTTGTTTCTGAGGTTTTCATGCACACCACTCATTAAATAAAACTAGTTTTAACGGGTTAATGCACGATTTTTATTTATTTATTGACGTTTCGCAGCCTTTTCAGGTCTGCATCGTCAGAATAATGATTTTTTATTTACTTTGTCGAGCTACCTTCGAAATCGCTCAATAAAAGTCTTTCTAACTAGTTTTTAGAACCAGTTTTATTTAAAAATACATGATAATTTTATTTTTTGAGCATGTAACTGCTCGATGGTTAAAAGTAAATAAAATATTACTAGAAAAAAATCCACGTGGACCAGGCAGCAGACGGGACTCGAACCCGCACCCTTCGCTATTTGGGCGAATGTACTGACCATAATGCTACTGCGGCCCTGACGGCCGTGTCGAATTCTTTCTACCCTTTTTTAAGCTGCTAGGCAGCGCCATCTCTTCGCATTGTAGGTAACCCACAATGTCAAATCGGATAGCGAAGGGTTCGAGTCTCGTCTGCTGCCTGGTCCTCGTGGATTTTCTCTAGTAATACTTTCTATAGAAAAATTACATGTTTATTTTTAAACACCAGTGGTTATGTTTTTATTTATTTTAAGCATTTAACTGCTAGATGTTTAAATCTAAAGAATAGTTTACTAATCACTTATCCATAACAAGTTTGGATATAGTTATATATTATTTTTAGCCTGTAACTGCTTTCAAATGTTTAATACCTGTAAAGGTATTCATTTGACATTGTGGGTTATCTACAATGCAAATAGATGACGCTGCCTTGCAGCTTAAGAAGGCTAGAAAGAATTTGACACGGCCATCAGGACCGCGGTAACATAATGATCAGGGCATTCGCCCGGATAGCGAAGGGTACGGGCTCGAATCTCGTCTGCTGTCTGGTCCGCGTGGAATTTTTCGAGTAATATTTTCTAATTAAGTTTGGATATATTAAAATTACAAAAAACATACAACCCGTACTAAATATGCTGGTATATTAAATAACTTACGAGTACACACAGCGGCTAGCACAGCACAGAACTTAATAGGCAATATGCCCCATTCATCACAGAACAGTAGAGCTACATCAGTCCTAAGACATTAGTGGCATCCATAGCGGTCCATCGTTCCTTTAAAAATTATCAAAAAAAAACTGGCCTTTTTTCCAAAGGTGGCAAGCAAGTTTGTCTTATCTATCTAGTAGTAGTCCACCACAAAAAAACAGGGCCGTGGTAGTATAATGGTCAGTGCATTCGCCCGGATTGCGAAGGATGCGGGTTCGAGTCCCGTCCGCTGCCTGGTCCGCGTGGATTTTTTTCTAGTAAACTTTTCTTTAGATTTAAACACCAATGGTTGTTAAAATCTTGTACGTTTTAATTATTAGCTGGAAATGGCTAAGTGGTTTTTAGTAGGGTCATTCACCCCTCCGGTGTCGAGTGGGAATTTCTCTAAAATTTCCCATACGTTCCCAGGGTAGACAAACCCGGGGCAACTGGGAATTGATTAACAGAATATTTTTAAAGTTAGTGTTATTTATTTCATCATCATCATCAGCCTATTAATATTCCCACTGCTGGGGCACAGGCCTTCCCTATGGATGGAATAGGGAGATTGGGCCGTGACCCACCACGCGGGCCCAGTGTGGATTGGTGGGTGCTAACGACTGCAGATACAGCCGGGACCAACGGCTTAACGTACCTTCCGAAGCACGGAGGAGTGAGAGATAGAAGATTTTTGGTCACCCATCCAATGACCGACCACTGCGAAAGTTGCTCAAGTTCAACGATCGCAGCCGAACGCGCTAACCACTTGCGCCATCGAGTTCCTCGTAAGATGTCTCCTCGTAATTTATTTAAGGCGTAGAACAAGGGCGGGCTGGGTACAGATGGACCAAACCCAGGGGGATTTTATTTAAGTACTTTCAATATTTATATATCACGACTATATGACCCCCCCCTGGCACCAAAGCTGGCTATATGACCCCCCCCCCTGGCGCCAAAGCTGGATCCGCCCTTGCTGGCGTAGAATTATGTAAAAATAATTACCATAGCAATTTTGGATTGTCTTCATGGTAAAATAAGTAATTCAATGTAGAAAATGTTTAATACTTGTAAAGGTATTCATTTGACATTGTGGGTTACCTACAATGAGAAGATATGGCAATGCCTTGCAGATTAAGAAATAAAAGAGAAAATTCGACACGGACATTAGGGCCGCGGTAGCATAATGGTCAGTGTAACCTCCCGGATAGCGGAGCGTCCGGGTTCGAGTCCCGTCTGCTGCCTGGTCAGCGTGGATTTTTGGAGTTTACTCCTTAAGAATTGATTTTCATATAAGGCCCAAGGGTATGAAAAAAATATGAGGAGTAAAATCTACTGAACAAATGACCTCGTTACGTTTTTGTGCGCACCTTTCACTTTTCAGTTGTGTGTGTGTGTGTATACTTGTGTGTAGCCAGCGTCAATCAACCACGACAATAAAGAAGTATAGTTATATTACAACGATAGAATCGATTGAATTGATATCTATTGAAAAGAATCGATCGATAAAATAAAATCGCGAATTCTATAATAAATGATTTAGTGGACTTTTGACGTAAAACAATATTTCTTAAGAACGGTTTAGTCTTTTTTCTCTCTTGTTCTCATTTGAGCAAATGAAAGTGTCTCTATCGTTTTTTCACAATGAATGAGAACTTCAAAACCGTTTTTCTCATAAATAAATAAAAATATTCAAAAAAACAGCGCTTCGGACGTCGGTAGATAAAAGGGATGATGACTATTTTTTTTTCTTCGTTTATCAGGTAGATTTTCAAAAAGTATTGGACACGTATTTTTTCTTTATTCACATAATATAAACATTGCAGAGATATATTGATTTGAAAAGTCGCATGACGTCACGTTTGAGTACACTTATAAGTGAAAATTCACTCAAAAGTGACGTCACGAGCCCCTACGCCCAAACTTTGACGCGCTATAACTTTGTAATTTTTTGGTTGATTGCCCAAAGAAAAAATACGTGTCCATTATTTTTTGATCATCTAACTGACGGACTAAATAGAATTTCGTTTACTGTACCCCGTCATCACCCCTATTCTATTATATACGGACGTACGAAGCGATTTTTTTGAAAATTTCCACTTATTCATAAGCAAACCCCTTTCAAATTTACCCATCAACAGCTCTCAAATTGATAAAAAAGTTATTTTAAAAATTTACATGTTGCAATTTTAAAAAAAATGGGTGCGTGTACTTATGTAGGCGCGTGGGAAGTTATCCTTCTTTGGCATCGTTTAAAATTAGTTTTTAATTGCATGCAAATAATTAATTACAATAAATTAATAAAAAGTCTGGAAAAGGACACAGTCAATAAAGTTCAGTTTTAATTTGAAAAAATAAATAAATAATCAAAATATTCAATTAAAATCACTACTGAATATAATTTATTAGAACATATGTGATTTGCACTTGTATGAAACTCAAACACGTATTCCGAATATACAAACTAGAAACATGTGGATAAATATTATAAATATGAATACCTATAACTGTTACTTTATTACAAAAAATAAAGATGTGGTTTTTGGTTCTACTACACCAATGGTCAAGAGATGGCGCTGTAGTCTCCTGAATCGCGCTTTGGTTCCGTTGTTCCAGATTAATAAATACTTTTGATAGGCCTTCACAATGCAGTCGTTAGCACCCACTAAATAGAGATTCTATTTCTATTTTGTTGGTAGATTTTCTTAATGTGCGGTAAACACAAAAGTAACGCATGACTTCATGCTGTTAAAATATTGTGTTACAGTGATGCGCGTGCATCTTAAAATTTCACTCTCATCATTTTTTCATAACGCGCCTAAAGAAGTATAACTTCAAAAAGCTATGAATGTAAATTTAAATAAAAAAAATACTTTTTTCATATTATCTAATTTATTTATTATAAAAATTCTGAAAATTATCACGCCTTGATGTAATTATTTTTTAATACCTACGCTTTTATTAGCTTTTGGTGTATCTCTACTTGTAACCGACTTTTTCGGACTTGATTTTGTTTTGTGTCTGTTCAAAGACAATGAGGGCTATCGCGTATGAATTCGCCGCTAGAGGCGCTAGTGTAGCATAGAAATGTCAAATGTTATTGCTTGTTGGTTGACTACGCGGGTTTATTTCTTATTAAAATAATGTTGTGAATAATTGGTAACAATTCGGCTTAATTATGGCAAATATGAGTTATGTGGCAATGAATGTCAGTTAAAAATTTGAGCTTAGAAAAATGATTATGTTCCCATTTTTTCCGAATAAAACGGAACTGGGCGTCACTGTGGCATGGCCTATTATGTTTAGGATATGGTTCTTTTGTGTTAAAATACGATCTAAATGTAACCTTTGATTTCATGTGCGTATTAATAAACTTTAAAAGTTACAATTTAGGACCTCACTCAACAGTGGCGCCATCTGGTGAGACAGAAAACGGTAGCCCTCATTGTTTTAAGAGTGTAAACTCCGGTCGTGCGTCGGAGCTGACACACACAATTTTTTTCTAGTAAAATTTTCTTTAGCATAGTGAAAAAAAGTAGGTATTCTAATAACATATATGTTTTTTTCTTAGGTACATCTTCTGCAAAGGATAAATATATAAAATCAGAGAATTATACGAATTTTGACGCTTACACCGACGGGGTAAATATACACAGGAAGTATGCCTTGCGAACGAAAGTAAAGCCAGTGTGAGTCATCATCATTATCATCATCAGCCTATTAATGTCCCCACTGCTGGGGCACAGGCCTTCCCTATGGATGGAATAGCGAGATTGGGCCCAGTGCGGATTGGTGGGTGCTAACGACTGCAGATGCAGCCGGGACCAACGGCTTAACGTGCCTTCCGAAGCACGGAGGAGGGAGAGATAGTAAATTTTTGGTCACCCATCCAATGACCGACCACTGCGAAAGTTGCTTAACTTCAACGATCGCAGCCGAACGCGCTAACAACTTGCTCCATTGAGCTTCTCAAGTCTACCTAAAATAAGTTTATGGTGGGTCACGGGCCAATCGCCTAACGGTATTGCTGTGGATACCGCTATCGCTTACGATTTATATTGCTATTTCTGACCGCCTAAGGTTTTCAAATACCTTACGCTCATTCTCTTTAATCTCTTATCTATTAGACAAGTCCGTCCGTCCGTCCGTCCGTCCGTGGTGCTGTTTCAGCGGCCAAACCGTAAGAGATAGATAAAGTGAATGTTTTAGTTATAAGTTAAGAATAGTCTGATAAGACTACAAACCGGATTTGAGTAACGTAGCACTTCCGGTTTTCGAGAAATCAGGTTTTGGTGAACATTTGTTCCACTGGTTTGCTAGTTTTATTATAAACAATGCACAAGACAAAAAAGGAGC